TTAGTCAAGTAGTGCCTAGAATCTTTCCAGCGTTCCGCTCGCTATACGACACTCCATAACACCTATAATCTATGCAGTGTGCTCTCGCTATATGCCTCTCCACTAATGCCTAGAATCTATTCCGCATTTCATTCAATATACAGCACTCACTATTGCCTAGATGTAGCATCCACTCGTTATGAACCATTTCCTGTGTGTGGAATCTATACCATGTTCTATTCACAATCCCAAACCTAGCTATGCTACTTCTACGGTTATATATATTTTTTTTCTCATTTTTTTTATTCTTGTGTTTTTTTGTTTGCTATCTTTTTGTATTAACTTTATTGTATTTTCAACTAAGATCCCACTCCGGGATACGGTTTCAATAAAGATTATTATTATTATTATTATAATTACCATAAGCTACTGATCATATACTTAATAAAGTTGAATGAAATTGACGTCAATGGAGACATTATCATATAATAATATAATATTGAATTTATTGCATCCTTAGAAATAATTTCCATTGGTTGAACAGCAATAAAATGTTAGTAATAAAGTACAATACATATAAAACTAAAGTAAAAGTAAAATGTCAGTTATTGATATTTCTGATTTCAAATATTTTGTATAAGTATTCACCAATTTGTCTTATTAGTACGTCTTCTCTTGAACTCATAATATATTTAAATATCTGGTCATCACTTTTTAATTCTTCTGGAATACTGATATTATTAAATAGCTTTTGTCTTTCTGTTTGGTACCTAAGACATTCCATGAAGAAATGTTCTTCATTTTCAATTTTGATCTGGGAACATTGCTTACAGATTCTGTCTTATTTTGGGTATTTTGGGTTGGGTATGTCTACCCTTCTCAATTTCTAATACATGACTGCTTATTCTGAAACGAGTCAATAAGATTTTATGTTTCAGATTACATAAAAGCAAATATGGTTCAAAAGTGTATGAGTCTTTAAACTTTATATACGTTCTCAGTTTTCTATTATCATTTGTTACACTCAACTTCCAGAACTCTACATACCTTTGTTGGATGTTTTTTCGTATGTTTTTTATTTTACTGTGTGGTAATTTTTGAGGTATGACAGACGAGGACAAGTTTGTAATATTTTCGGAGACCATGTGTACAGCGTTTAAAGTGGTATTTTATTTTTTGAGCATTTCATAGAATGAGTGATAATTTTCATAAATCTGAATAAGTAATGAGTAACTACTGATTACATACAGTGTAGCTAGGTGGTAGTGGAGTGACATACAAGAATGGAATACTGCATAGATTATATGTTAGTTAATTAGTTACTGTTGAACATATTATGTGTATGTATTTTCCAGACCACTATCGCAAGAGCATGGGACTTGAAGAAATGTTTCTTATTTTGCCCAGCAATGAACACATTAATGTGGGAGCATCCAGTAACATCAAAACATATCAATATTTTAAAACAATGGGGATACAAAGAAATACCTTGTATAGAGAAGACATTGGTGTGTGGGGATACAGGTGAGAGTACAAGCAAGGACATAATGCTGTTGTTTATTCAACCCTGGACACTTATTTTAAAATATTGTGTTGTATCCTGGGATCTATTTATTTATTTATTTATTTATTGCTTTCCTTTTGTAACAGGGGCTCACTATGTAAACTAGGAGCTGCACCAAATAAAAAAAATACATTTCACTCAAAGACTTATGGATAAAAAACTTTTGATAGACAAAAAATAATTAAGTTACATGAACTAAGATAACAAAATATAACAACAACAAAAAACATCTAAAAGTAGCAACAACAACAAAAAATAAGAAAACTAAAATATAACAAGTACACTGGAAAAATATTAAATATTATCTGTATACCTCTTTCTACTGTCCATGGCATCAACTAAGAATTTTTTTGTAAAAGTATCAATTTCGTCACACGGG